ATTAAATGCTTTAACGGACGAAGTAGGGTTAAAAACACCGGACTTATTATTGTTGGCTCGAAATAAAGAATCAATCAGTGTCATGAAGCAAATGCCAAAATTTACAATTAACGCAGGGCCTCCATAAAGTTGAATAAAGTTTATTCTCTTAGCTTGACGCAAAGCAATGCTGCGAAGAAGTTCGGCAGTAAGCTACCACCAGTGCTTATCAAAGCAACGATTAAGAAGAAGATAAGCCCGATTTATTACGAATTAGTTAGCGACATGGAGAAACCCCTAGTCGGTTACCATTTGAAAGATATCAAAATATAAAATATAATAAGGCAGATAGCAACCTACAGGACCCTTTTTCAGCTAACGCGTCCTTCGACGAGTCGCAACGGCAGTACCTATCGGAGGTAAACTTCCGCAAGGGCTGTAGGAAATGAAATTTTGTATTTTGACCCAATATCATCAACAATCCTATATTTCCCTTCTTAGACCTAGGGTAAGGTCATAGCAAATCGATGTAAAGTTTCTGAAACGGTCTTCAGTAACAGGGAGCGCGAACTCTCTCTTTTTGGCGTGCTCAATGTGAGAGCACTGAGAGCCAGATATATAGAAGATCAGGAAAAGTTCCTTTACTGGAAGTTTTGGAGATTTTCACGGTCACGTAGCAGCGAATTTTAGCCTAGAACGTGTCATCCATTTGAATTTGCGATCGAAAGGGAACAGACGCATCTAAATCAGTTGAATAATCTGTGAAAAATTTTAAAGAAACAGCAGCCACGTGCCTAAGTAGTTGGCGTATTAGTCTATAGTTATTGAGCGAAGACCAGAAGAAGTGAACAAATAGGTAAAAGGTAAATAAAGGGTGGTTAAATTGTAAGGGCCGATGTTGAATATGAACAACAACTAACCGCCAAGTTTTTTTTCCGAAAATTATTTAACATTTCTGTTTTTCAGACTTACTCAATTTGAACCATGGAGAGATACACAATCCAACGTGTTAAAGTTATCCAGACTTATTATGAAAATGGGCCTTCAAATCAAAATTTATAACGTGCACTTCATGTTTTTTTTGGTCAATTTTATCGCCAAAATGTGCGTACAATCTCAAAAATCGTTAAAAAATTTGAGCGAACCAGGTCTATTGAAGATGTGAGAACACCAGTGCATGCTCGTACAGCTCCTACTGTGGAAAATATAGCTGCTGTTCGCGATAGTGTGGCTGAAGAGCCGTCCACCTTAACTCGTCGTCGTTCCCAACAATGTCACCTCTCCCGCTCGACGTTGACGAGCTAACAAGGTGCAATCGGCTCAAGAACTAAAGCCTTTTGACCATTTCAAGCGACATGAATTGGCAGAATGGTGGGAATGGCGATATCTCACGTAATGGCGATATCAATTGGGCGCTAAGATCATGTGATTTTTTGGTTATTTAAAGAAAATTTGTACGTCGGTAAGCCAGCAACAATTCAAGAGCTAAAGGATGAGATAATTTCGCATATTAACGGCATAGAACCTCCATCATGCCTCAGAGTCATCGAATGGAGGTGTGCCGCCGTGGTCGCGTCGCCTATTTGGCCGAAAAAAAATTACAATAATTTACTAAATAGTTTGTGTTTTATTCAAAATTAACATCGGCCTTTGAAATTTAACCACCCGATAAGGGATAGATAATGAATAGTTCTTGGTCAAGGTGGTCACTGGCAAAATACAAAAGCAATCGGTCGGTAGAAGGAAGCGGCATAAGGAGGAATTGAAGAAGGATATAGAGATAGAGATCTAGTTAGAGAAGAACCGAGCACACATGCAAACTAACACCAATTGCAATAGACGCCAAGCGAAACAGCCAAACATAAACTGGCTCATCCGTGTGTATCGACGTAACCCAAACTGCTAAACCACGCCGTGGTACCACTATTACACATTTTCCACAATGGCTCACATCCAGCTCTGATCCCAGCACTGGCCCAGCGAATTATCACTAGGGTAAGAGAAGTTTAACACGTTTAATTAATTGGCCTTTAGAGTTAAGTCAAAAAATTTTTTTTGTAATAAAAAATAATGCGATCGTTTCAATTTTTACATATGTTTTTATAAGCATCATAAACTATTTGAAAATATTTTGTTTAATTTATTCTTGTGTAGTTTAATACACTTTATAGCATGCCAAAGTATGCATATAAAAAAAAGGTAGGTCCCCGGCGCAGGTGCTAGAGTCATCCGAAACAAAAAATTAGAATAGATTATTGTTTTGTAAGCTTATGGCTCTGTCCCGTACTAGAATGAAATATTTTCATTATTAAACAACAAAATGGCGAACACACAAAAAAAAAATTTTTTTTTAATTTAAAAAATTTATCTTAAATTAATGATAAAAAAACATATCATTAAAAATAAATGATTCTAGTACGGGACAGAGGTGTTACTTTTAAGAACAACATATCCAAATTTCAGCTTGATCGGTACCATAGAATTTTGTGAATCACCTGCGCCGCACACAAAAATGTCGTTCCGAGAAAAACGCGTTTAAAGTTCAGACGCCTCCGAGTAACTCATACTTTTCGGTGTAGGCGCGCTCTCGATTATGGGCTGTATCTCTGTCATTATTTGATATTTTTATTTGAAACTTTAGCAGTACATTCTTAATAAACAATACTATCGAAAAAAATCGATTTTTTCAACCTCACACATGAGACTACATCCTTAAGCCGAGATATTTATCTCCGTCGTATCAGAGGAAAGACGTGAAGCAAATACATGTTTCGATGAAGGAATGACCTTCGGGGTGTTTTTGTTTTTGTTTTTGGTGTTTTTGAAGTTAGAGAGTTCAAATTTTACAAGAGCGCTATCTTTGACAATATAATACGACATGCCAAATTTCAAAACGATCGGCAGACTATATCTTATAGCTGCCATATAACTGAACGATCGTAAATGGTTTTTGGTAGAAATACCAACTTTGGTATTTTTAAAGAAAGAAGTTTGGGACTTTTTTAGATTTTGTATTATAATAAATTGGGTTACATTATAATATTCTCATAAGGAACGGCCAACTATATCCGATGCTTGCGATATATATCCGGTTTTAGCTGCAAGGGTATATCAACTTCGGCTCCGCCCGAAGTTAGCTTTCCTTTTTTGTATTAACTTCTTTTAAACTTCTTAGAACTTTAGAATTTTAGAACTTATTTAATGTGGGGACTCAAAGTCCTTTTTTTAGGTACCCTTGATGAAGCTTTTTGCAGATCAAAGCTTGAATGAAGCTTTTCTCTCTGAGAGGCTTTGTTCTTTGAAGGGAGTCGAAACCTATTACTTGAGGTGTCAGTTGACGTGGAATGCTTTGGGCCTTAACTAATCAAGGTGACAGGTTTTCTGTGAAATGTGACATTTCTTATGAAGTGAGTGCCCACTTAAGAATGGTTTAAGGATGTAGTCTCATGTTCCGGCCTACTTTTTAGAGGTTATTTCAAAAATTTTTTTTTGTAATAAAAAATAATGCGATCGTTTCAACTTTCACATATGTTTTTATAGGCATCATAAACTATTTGAAAATATTTTGTTTAATTTATTCTTGTGTAGTTTAATACACCTTATAGCATGCCAAAATATGCAAATAAAAAAAGTGGTAGGTCTCTGGCGCAGGTGATTTCGACTGCTAGAGACATCCGAAGCAAAAAATTAGAATAGATTATTGTTTTGTAAGCTTATGGCTCTGTCCCGTACTAGAATGAAATATTTTTATCAATAAAAAACAAAATGGCGAACTCACAAAACAAAAAATTAAAAAAAAATTAAAAAAATTTATCTTAAATTAATGATTAAAAAAACATATCATTAAAAATAAATGATTCTAGTACGGGACAGAGGTGTTACTTTTAAGAACAACATATCCAAATTTCAGCTTGATCGGTACCATAGAATTTTGTGAATCACCTGCGCCGCACACAAAAATGTCGTTCCGAGAAAAACGCGTTTAAAGTTTAGACGCTACCGAGAAACTCATACTTTTCGGTGTAGGCGCGCTCTCGATTATGGGCTGTATCTCTGTCATTATTTGATATTTTTATTTGAAACTTTAACAGTACAGTTATAATAAACAATACTATCAAAATATTAAAAAAAAAAAAATCGATTTTTTCAACCTCACACATTTAGAATTTAGAAGAGACATTTATCTAGATTTATTTATATTTTTATTTAGTATCTAAAATATAGCAGGATTGCTACTTAGGGTATATATATATATTAGCTATAAGTGTATTGCATCCCTGTAAACTGTTGATAGTGTAAGTTGGTGTCGTTGCCTGTTGTCGGTTCTGGCTCTCTCTCTCTCTTGTGCTCTCATCGCTCTCATTGCTCTTTCAGCGAGTAATGAGGGTTGATGCTGATCACGAGTTGAGAGCGGAGTCAGTCGAACACCAGCAGCGATCCGAAGCGGATCTAGTCAGAAAAAATAAATAATCTAGAATAAGCAAAGTGTTGGTGTTTTACTCCAGGGACATCATTATATCCCTACAAAATCAGAAGTGGGCCGATCTCGTGCCAAATAAACAATTAATGACAATTAATTATAATGAAAATGGATGTTAGCAACGCATCAATTGCGCAATTAAAAAGGTGGTTGTTTATGAATAGTGGACTGTATTATGGTTTTTATTTAGTTTTATGCATTTATTTTCACTTTTTAGCGGGTTTACAATGGTTTTAAGCGGGGTTGCTATCAGCGAGCGGTTGCTGTTAATGTCAACAAGAGAATGCGGCCGGCTTGCAAAACGTGCATTAAAAGAACTGAAAAACGATCGCGTGATGCTCTAATACTAACGCATTGCACTGCAATTTCGGCTATACCTGTGAGCTTAAAGCTCACAAATGGTAAACAAAACAATGATGTGCGCAAAAATAGGTACGATAATAAGAAATTAATTAACAAGTAAAGAAGCAAATGTAATACTATTTAAATGCAAAATAAAGACGAACTATTTCTCAACATACCGGCCCCCCTGAACGACGGTTCAGTTCAAAGGAAGCACAGCAATTTTCGTAATAGGGCGCTTGTAGATTCCCTTGGCGGTTTTAACGGTGACCACCCGGACCCTCTGATCCTGGCCAGGATGAACTTCGGTGACTCGTCCTAGCATCCACTTGCTTGGCGGTTGATTGGGCTCCTTCAGCACAACCAGTGTGTCCACGGCAACATTTGGAGCATCTTGATGCCATTTCGTGCGAGGTTGAAGCGGGCTGAGATACTCGAGATTCCAACGTTTCCAGAAACCTTGAACCTTGGCCTGTAGTTGTCTCCAGCGCTGCAGTCTGTTGATGTTTACATCCAGGAAAGATGGTTCTGGTACCGAAGTGAGAGGCTGACCTGTTAGAAAATGAGAAGGAGTTAGCGGGTTAAGCCCTTCAATCTGAATTAACAGGATCGAATACTCCTCGAATGTCAAGGCACTGCTGCCAATGACTCGTTTTAAGTGCAGCTTTATGGATCTCACACCAGTCTCCCAAATACCTCCGAAATGGGGAGCAGATGGCGGAATGAAATGCCAATTAATCTCGTGGCTGGCCATGAAGCTTGAAATTTCTTCATCTCGACTTTGAGCTATTGCCATTTGTTGCATTTCAGCTAAATCTCTTTTGGCTCCATGGAAAGTCGTTCCATTGTCCGAGTATAAATCCGATATAGGTCCACGTCGAGACCAAATGCGTTTGAAAGCGGCTATAAAGGCGGATGTCGTCAAATCGCTGACCAATTCTATGTGAATCGCTTTTGTAGATAGGCAGACAAAGATCGCAAACCAAGCTTTGCCAAATCTTGGTGTCCGGCCTGTCGATGTTTTGATTGACACAGGTCCAGCATAATCCAATCCAGTGTGCAGGAAACAACGGGCGGGTTGAACTCGAAACTCCGGTAAATCAGCCATAAGTTGAGAACTCGTGTGTCTTCGCTGCAGAAAGCAAGTTCTGCAATTGAATACAGTTTTGCGGACGAGGTTCCGAGCTCCTAGAATCCAATACCTTTGGCGTAGACTATGAAACGTGTATTCGACTCCAGCGTGTAACAATGCAGCATGTTGATAGCGAACTAGCAGACCAGCTATTGGAGATTCCTTAGGAAGGAGAATGGGATGCTTTGCGTCATAAGTAGCTATAGAATTATCGATGCGACCACCAACACGCATGTTGGTCGTCTAAAAAAGGTGTGTAGCGAATCAACTTCGATTTCTTCGACAATGGCTGTCCGGTAGTTAACTGCTTGTACTCCACGTTGAAGAACTCCTCTTAAGCGTGCGTAAAGATCTTAGCTCGTGCATGTTGTAGCTCCCACGCCGATAGGAATGGTGAAAGTCGATTCCTCTCACGAAGACGATGAACGAAGCGATGGCAGTAGCTGACTATCCTTAATAAACGGGACCATGAGGAGGATTTGTTGATCATACAAGATAGCGAATTTCCGTCGTCGGAAATGTGTAGATTAACTTTCGTTTCAGCCTTCATCTCTAGGCAGGCCTCTTCTTCTGTCGACAGAACAAACTTAGCTTTAGCAGGTGGCCAAGCTGAACGTGACTGAGATAGCCAAGGTGGTCCATTCCACCATATTTGATGATCCACGAGGTCCTTTGGCAGTACTCCTCGCGATGCGCAGTCTGCGGGATTATCACCACTTCGAATATGTTGCCAGCAGCTGCGTGGGCAAACCTCTAGAAATTCAGCAGTGCGGTTGCAAACATAGGTGTTCCAAGTCCTAGGCGGAGAAGATAGCCAATGCAGGACTATTTCAGAGTCTGACCAACAATTGATTCTGGAATAGGATTCTGGAATAGAATAGTTAATGATTGCTTGACCAGATAAATCAGTTTAGAGAGTAAATGAGCTGCGTTTAACTCTAGTCGCGGAATAGAGATAGGCTTAATAGGGGCTACGCGAGTTTTAGCCATAATCAGTTTGGCAGCATATCCATTGTTGACTTCGACGAGGCTATAGATGACGGCAGCATACGCTTGAGATGATGCATCAGCAAATCCGTGCAGTTCCATTTCTTGATGTGGTGCAGATATGTAGCGAGGAACTCGACAAGTTTCCAATAAATGCATTTCCGATACAAACTGTTGCCATCGTGTACATTATTGCTGCGGTAGTACTTCATTCCAATCGACAGAACTTAGCCAACTATCTTGAAACAGGATCTTCAGATAAACAACAGTTGGCGAAAGCAAACCCAGCGGGTCGTAGATCTTGGCTAGTTCTGAAAGCAATATGCGTTTAGTAAGAGCAGTCGTAAATGCGGGGGTTTCTAATTTGAAGAAAATATAGTCCGGTTTTGGTTCCCAACACAATCCCAGGACTTTAACAAATCGAAATGAGCGGTCTTCCTCTAAATCCTCTGGTGGATACTCACAAATCTCCTTAGGCAACGACTTTAAAAGGGCGTAACAGTTTGAGCTCCACTTTCGCAATTTGAATTGAGCTTCGCTAAGAAGCAGAATCAATTCATCTTTGAGTGCAATGAGATTCTTGATGTTGTCGCATCCAGTAGGAATATCATCAACGTACGCGTCTCTGTTGAGCACGACAGCAGCGGTGGGATACAATTCGGCATAGTCATTCGAGAGCTATTTAAGAACTCGAACTGCAATAAACGGCGATAAAGCTAATCCATATGTTACTGTCAACAGTCGATAATGATCCAGCGTAGCGTTTTCATCCTTCCTCCAAACTATGCGTTGGTACTGTGTATGTTCGTCCGACACCAAAATGCCTCTAAACATCTTCTCGATGTCTGCACAAAATACATAACGATGCTGACGAAATCGAAGGCATACTCCAATAGGTGAATAGGTGGTCCTATACGCAGTCGCGAATTAAGAGAAAGACCAGAGCCGTCAAATACCACTCGGCAACGTGTGGTAGTACTATCTGGCTTAAAAACTGCATGGTGTGCCAAATAGTTGTAGCGTGCGGGATCCTCACCGCCTGCAGCAGCCGGAATCAATTCCATATGTCCTCCATTTAAATAATCATCCATGAAATCCACATATTGTTGTTTGAGTGCGGGGAATCTTCTAAATTTCCTTTCCAAAGCGGCGAAGCGGTTTAAAGCCTGTGGCAAAGAGGAGCCAATTGGCGTGCGGGGCTCCTTGAATGGGTATTGAACAATATAAACACCATCTTCTCTACGAGCATGTGTTTTCAGAAAATGTTGTTCGGCGGGATCATAAATAAATGTCCATAAATGTCCAAACTCTCGGCGATGTCCAGTATACAAGTTCCACAGCTGATCAGCGCCTAAGATAGCGTCGATTTTGCCCGGAGATCCAAACGTCGGGTCAGCTAGCGGTAGGCTGCGAATCTTGGTCCAAATAGTTGCATTTGATTTGACCTGCTGAGCTGGAATCGTAGAAGTTAGAGAACTCATAATTAGACAAGAGACTTCCAATGATGCAGTCGTGGTTCTTGAGAGTAAGGTGAAGCTAGCGCGACCTCGGCTAACACCAGCCGGGTTAGCACCTAAACCAACTACCGAAATGCGGGCATGCGTGCGAGGAATTCCGATCCTTTGGATAAATGACTCAGATACCATGGTTATTGTTGATCCAGTATCGAGCAATAACCTACATGAGGTCTCGTTTCCCCATGTGTCAATTACATTGGCGACAACAGTTGGCAGTAGGGCTGGATTGTTGGCCCTCTCCAAAATATGATGGCTAACAGCGGCAGTATTCGTATCAGCGGCAGTCGAGTGCGCAGGTGCCAAAGGAACCGATCTTGCTTCAATCGGGTGTACTAACGTGTGATGCTTAGCGTTGCACTGACGGCAAGTGTTCGATAAATTACAATCCCTGACTTGATGCGATCGACTCAAGCAGTTGAAGCATAATTTTGTATCCTTGGCGAAGGTGCGGCGGCTGACTACATCCAGTGCCTTGAATTCATTGCATGAATATATAGAATGCTGTCCTTGGCAATATATACATTCGCAAGACGACTGAGTTGATCCACTGGCATGAAAGGCGGCTTGGCGGCGTCTACTCTGGGCTGGTCTTGAGGGTTGCGTTGCGGGTAAATCCTGACAAGACTCCAAAGTATCACAATGAGCAAAAAGAAAGGCGAACAGCTCCTCTATGGTGACGTTTACAGTGGCCGATAAACTGCAGTTGGCCCAAGCTTGTTTAATTTCTGAACCTAACTTTGACAGCAAAATATGAATGAGCCATACATCGCGGCTGTCACAGTTCAGCGCATGTAAGCCTCGAATGCATTCGTCGGCCGAGTCAATTACCTTGCGTAATTCTGCAATATTCGAATTGTTAGCGGTTGGCAACCGGTTGGAGCGGTTGGATAAAAAATTCTGAACAAACGATCGAGCGATGAGCGACCTTTTATTATAACGATTTTCTAATTTTTCCCATGCGTCTTGGTAATTATCATTACAGACGGCAATATGTTTAATTAGGGACAGTGCTTCTCCCTCCAGATATGATTTGAGATAATGAAACTTTTGGCACTTGGAAAGCTTTTCGCTACTATTTACTGAGCTTAAGAACAGATCACTAAACTGGCTCCAATCCTCATATTTGCCAGAAAATGTGGGAATCCGAATTTTCTCAAACCTTAAATCAGCAGTTCCCGATGAAGTATGAATTTTCTCCAAAAGGTTGTTTTGTCCCTCAAATAGGCGTTCCACTGTACTTGAAAGTAAAATGTTCGACTGGTCCTGTCCATGATTTTGACCTTCCATGTCCTTATGGCGTTTCTAAAAATAGCATGCGCGGCGTAAAACTTGTCTTCGTATTCGGGTATGTCCAATCCAGGGTCTTCATATCCCTCCTCCAAGTGAAATTCCACTAACTCATCTGAGAGCTCCATAAAGTGGTTGAAAGTGGCGACCAAACGCTCCAGCTTGAATTGCAATGTTTCCACATTTTCACATCTTTGTGAAAACTCCACAGCACTGTTGAGGGTGCGCGTTATTTGCCCCTTGCAGGCACCACGTTGTTGAATCGTTCTATGCATTATCGCGTTCATGACGAAAAAGCGGTAAATTTGTCTCTAATGTTCACAAAAGTAAATGCACAAATAAACGCGGGTATCCGGCTCGAACGGACCAAAATTTGTTATGTTTATGAATAGTGGACTGTATTATGGTTTGGTATTATGGTAATAATTAATAATTATGGTATTATGGTATTTAGCGGGTTTACAATGGTTTTAAGCGGGGTTGCTATCAGCGAGCGGTTGCGGTTAATGTCAACAAGAGAATGCAGCCGGCTTGCAAAACGTGCATTAAAAGAACTGAAAAACGATCGCGTGATGTTGTAATACTAACGCATTGCACTGCAATTTCGGCTGTGCGTGTGAGCTTAAAGCTCACAAATGGTAAACAAGACAATGATGTGCGCAAAAATAGGTACGATAATAAGAAATTAATTAACAAGTAAAGAAGCAAATGTAATACTATTTAAATACAAAATGAAGACGAACTATTTCTCAACAGTGGTTATGTGCGTTACGGCTACCAACAACGGGAACGAAGCGCGAATTAATATTACGTTTAGATAAAATGTCAACGGAAACGCGTAATTATCTGGAAGCAATTAGGAATCAAGACGAAGACGGCGATGGAAACAACGATGAAGACGAATATGAAGAGGATCTGGAATTAGAAAGCCAAGAAAATGACAACGATAATGGCGACGAAGACGGAGGCAACAACAACGACAAAGCTGGAGTCCAAGAAAACGAAAAAGTCAGAGGCGAAGGAAACGACAAACACGGAGGTGGAACTAAAGGAAAAGATGGCGATATAAATAAGAGTAAAGTTGGCGGCGATCAATGCGGAAAAGACGGAGACAGAAGGAACAGCAAAGATGGAGGCGAGAACAGAAACTTGCGCACTGGATTAAGCAAATGAATAATATTGCAACTATTTATGGAATTAGTGGACAATACGTTAAGATATTGATGATCAGTAAAATCAAAGGAAAGGCAAACGTGTGGCTACATGCGAACCCTGAGCGCATCATGCTACCGCTGGAGGAGTTAACCGGTGAGTTAATTTCAATGTTTTCGGACAAAGTTTCGAGGTTAGAGGCAAGACATAAATTCGATAACCGGAAATGGAGTTCCGGAAGGAAGTTACGTGAACGATAAAGTGATGCTTGGTCAATAAATCAACATAGAT